AGAGCATCATCCTGGCAGAAATGTAGGGCTTTACTAAATACTCACTGGCTGACGCATGGCTAGGCCAAACGAGTATTCATTCTCTTGCTCCTGAGCACAGCAGGTGTGATAGGTCCTGTGCCAGGTGCCACAGGGAGGCAGAGATTAATCAGATGGGGTCTTGATCACAAGGAACTCACAGCCCAGCAGGTTGATAAGCTATATATAAATTACTCCCTGTGAAGCACTGAGTCTTCCTTAATGACAGATGCTCTGGAAAGTAACCTAAACCTACTGCAAAAACAAACCTTTGTATTATTATTGTTGTTGTTTTTGAGTTGGGGTCTCACTCTGTTGCCCAGGCTGGAGTGCAGTGGTGCAATCATGGTTCACTGTAGATTTGGCCTCCTGGGTTCAGGTGATCCTTCTGCTTCAGCCTCCCAGCTAGCTGGGAATACATGCACAAACGACCATGCACAGCTAATTTTTTAATTTTTTTGTAGAGATGAGGTCTTGCTACGTTGCCCAAGCTGGTCTCAAACTCCTTGGCTCAAGTAATCCTTTCACCTCAGCCTCCCAAAGTGCTGGGATTATAGGTGTGAACCACCACGGCCAACGAAACCTTTGTTGTATTAAATCATTGAGATTGGGAGGATATTTGTTATGTAGCATAACCTATACCTAGTCTAACTAATATAATATGGTTACAAAACTTGACTGAAAATAAGAATCGCCAGAGCTATTGCTAGAAACCCAGATTCCTGGACCCCTGGCCAGATCTACTGAATCAGAATTTCCAGGTGAGAGGCCTGCTAATCTGTATATTTAAGTGGCTTTCCTCTATCTTCAGGAGAGTCAAGAAAAACATCAGCGGCTAAACTTTGAAGGAAGAGCAGGATATTAGAGGGAAGGGTGTTCCAGGGAACAAGAACAGCATGAGGAAAGGCATGGAGGAAGGAACGTGCAGGGAATAACCTGGGGCAGGAGTAGAGGGTGATGAGGCATGGTGGCCTGCACTGAAGTGGAGAGTTAGCAAGTCTGGGCTTTATCTTTTTTTTTTTTTCCCCCAAGTTGTAGTCTCATTCCGTCGTCCAGACTAGAGTGCAGTGGCTGCTCCTGGCCACCGCAGCCTCGACCTGCTGG